ATTTCATGTTTAAAATGTGTTGGTGTCACCGTTGAGCTCACCGTTGGCGTGAATCGAGATGGAACGTACCATTTTCTAGACATAATTCTATAGCAGTGCTGATGTGCTGTAGCAAAATGTGGGACTGGTTAGGCGTTTTTTTTTTGTGATTTACTTATGTTTATTATTTTGTAAGACTTTCAAAGCTATCAATATGGTCACTATAGTTGCCCGTGTCTGCTGCTAGTAAGATATTATTACCGAGTATACAGTACTCTATACTCCGCAGTATAATGGAATATTCGAAGGACGACTCGAGTAGCTGAGCGCGAAGAATTGTATTTTCTGGTTGAAAAATACCCTACACAAGATCGATATAAACATCATTATCATCAGTATCACCGTCGTTCTTCGTCGATTTTATTATCAACATTATCATCATCATTGTCGTCACCTTCTCCCATCATCATCATCACAATAACAATAATCATTATCATCATTACTAGCATCATTGTTGTCGTCACCCATGTCCCCACCATAATCATTATTTATAGTATATTAGACTAACAGCAACATCGTCATCGGCGTCGTTGTTATCATCAGCATCATCATTATTATTATCAATGTGATCATTATCATCATTTATCATAATTACCATTATTATTATTATCATCATCATCTTGTCAAGTTACGATTGACATCTTCATGTTTCCACCAAAGTTCATTTTGTAATTTCACCGGGTTTGAGTCCCGCGGATTTCGTTATTAAGAAACAAAAAGGCTTATTTAAAAAATGATGATAAAAACGAAAATGACTGAATTGGTACGACAATAGCTAGCAATCGCAAAATGTAATAATTGCGTTCTTGTTGGATTCTCATTTTAACTTATCACGTTCATTATTGTGATCGACGTGAGCTGAGTTGGTGATAATTTTAACAATCAATGTCATCAAATTATTCGATGGTAAGCGACGCAAAACATACTGAAGAATATACAAATTATTCTCGATGTTTGACCTGAGTAAATTCTGAATGCATTTGTACGATATATTATTAAGAGCAGTACAGTAAGTACCTGTGTTCGATGTGAATATTTCGTGAGTGCCGCGGTTCAAGACAATGTGTGTTACTTTTATTTGTGTAGGAATAACAGACAGTTTCGTGGAAATGTGATATTTAACACATGTTTCAAGTTACAGAAATATTGATACTATTGTATTCAATAAACACAGACAATTATGCCTGTTGAATAATTGGTGTGGTTTCTGGTAAGTGACCGTATACTAGTAACGTATCTTATAGGCCTTTATTTATTTATTTACTTAGATAGATAAATAAATAAATACTATCTATCTATCTATCTATCTATCTATATCTATCGCATCATATCGGCAAAGTCTTCTCAGTGTGAACTCTTTAAAACATTGGAAACTCTTGCAATGCATTGCTCAATGGTTTACCTGCTATTAGCATTAGACACCTTCAGAAATTTCAGAACTCTGCTGCTCGTGTTGTAACATTGTCTAAAAGGTTCACCCACATTACGCCAATTTTAAACATTCTTCACTGGCTTTCAGTTGATAAGCGAATCATTTTTAAAATTCTTCTTTTTACCCAAATAATCTATCCATGGTCGTGCCCCACTTTATCTCTGTTCGCTTATAGACAAACAGGTTTCTTCCCGTTTTAATCGTTCTTCTCAATCCCTCAAACTTGTTACTCCACGAGTCAAGCATATTCGTACCGGTGAACGCTCTTTTTCTTTCTCTGCTCCTGAACTCTGGAACTCTCTGCCTCCTCAATTATGTATCATTTCTGATCCGCAATTATTCAAATCTACTCTTAAATCATTCCTCTTCAAATAGTTCAACTTCTTTCTAACATCCTCCAACGCCGGTGACAAGCCAGTTTTGTTTGCTTTAATAGGCGCTTTAAAATGTGTATTATTATTATTATTTATTTATTTATTTATTTATTTATTTATTTATTTATTTATTTATTTATTTATTTATTTATTTATTTATTTTTATTTATTTATTTATTTATTTATTTATTTATTTATTTATTTATTTATTTATTTATTTATTTATTATTTTATTTATTTATTTATTTATTTATATATAAACAAATCAACCAGCGAATACAAGAATCGCCACTTACAAGATTGTAAAAAACATGAAACATATATAGGCGGGTTACGAGATCTAAAGTAACGGTCCGTATAGGTGTGGACATTCACTAGTTGGCACTACTTTTTATACTCATATCAGCAGGTTTGTCGTCCGTTAGATATTTTATAAATGCAAGGAATTAAACAGTTTAGCACCTAATAATTTATATTTTTAAAAAATAATTTATTCCATAATTATACTTCTGATGTAATAAAAATTATATGTAAATTTTCTGACATATTATTACAGTAGTGTTTTTAATTTTTATTTTAATTTTATATTATCAGAGGTGTTTTTGATTTTTGACATATTATTACAGCAGCGCTTTTGATTTTGTGTTTGTTTTTTTTTTTATTATGTTATCATTATTATTTATATTGATGTTACTAAATATTTTTAATAATTAT